CCCCCTCTCCCCCTCCCCTCTCCCCCTCGCTCCTTTCTACCTGTAATCAACTAGCTTGCTTGTTCCAAACGCTTACCTGTCAGTGCTGGCGGATTAGTCCGCCCGTCGACGTAGACGGCTTTGTCAGGCGGACGCAGCATAATCGCCGACGTCCGCGCACGGCTGCGCCTGCCGCCCCCGATCCGACCAATCACGGCTCGACTCTCTCGGCGCTCGCCGCCACTTGCGTCGCGGTCGCCGATTGGCTGCGACGCGCGCGTGACGTCACGATCGTAAACGCTCGTCTGCCGGCTGTTAACAGGCGGGAGTCATTTTATAGCCCCGCTGCGTCGGTCGTTAAGCGTCCGCTACGGCTCCGTCGCTCCCCGGTGCAGAGCGAGAGAGCAGACGGTGATTTACAGCGCTAGCTAGAGTGTGTGAGTGTGGTTACAGTGTGGCTACAGTGTGGCGGGGTAGGGTCCCACGCGCTACACCCGGCCTACACGGACACCAGCAGCAGCAAGACGTGTGCTGTCAGCTGCCGCAGCAGCGGAAAAGACAGGAAGGAGACGAGAGAGCGAAGGAGAGAGAGAGAGAGGACGTCCGCGCGCACGGAGAGAGAGAAACGAGACCGCGACGCAGAGACGAGAGAGAGAGAGAGAGAGAGAGAGAGAGACAGAAGAAGAGAGTAGTTAGTGTCGTAATCAGGCGATCGTAAAGCGGCGTTTTACGATCAGCATTTTACGACGTTACGCTTACAAACGGATATAGTAGCGGCATTAGCAACAGTCGGCGGTGCGGCGACAGCAAGCAGCGCAGATCAAAGCCGCCGCCAAGGAGTCAGCGGCGGGCAAAAGCGCGCGCAAGTGCGTGCGTACGCGTACATGCGTGGCGTCCGCGCCAACATTACAGGGTACAGACATTTTGTGTCGGCACGGAGAGACTGAGAAGAAGAGGCAAGGCAGGCAGGCAAGCCGCGCAGGGCCCTGACGAGCCAGGACGGCAAGGGCAGCAGGCAGCCAGGAGGCAAGCGACGCAGCGCTGTGCCTCTCGCCAAAGCGGTCAAGGTGGAGGCCGTCAGTCAAAGTATAGCCCGACGTTAGACAGAAGAAAGTAAGGCAACCAGCGAGCCAACCAGGAAAGTAAAAGGGCAGCCACATGCCTAAAAGCATTAGTGGGTGCAGGAAATATAGCCCAGGACTAAACGCAACGAACTCAAACAACAAAAAGCCAACATTCACATCGCTCTAACGACACATTCACCATGCCGCCTACCTGGCTCCTTCTCCTCTCATCCAATCCCTCCTGCCTCCCGGCACCGAACCGCTCACCTCCGTGGGGTCGGACCCTGGGCCCGCCGTCGGCGCCGGAGGGTGGGCGTCGCGTCTGGGAGGTCTGCGGAGAAGCGTGGCGAAGATGCGAACCGATAGAGATCGAGTATGTAGTAAGTAATCTCGGTTTACAACGTCTAACCAGGCATGCCGAATCTCGTCGGTCACGAACGCCAGCAGACCAGAGCTACAACTACTACACACCATTCACCCCACTCATAACAGTACGGCATGCTCGCGAACGCAAGTCCAAGTTCTTTCCTCTTGCTCCGTATTACGCTCCGATGAGCACGCGAGAAGGTGTTGGTGCCGCAGCAATAGGGCCGGTGCGGCCGCTTGTCGACAAGCGTCCGGCGACGCTGCGAAACCGGTTGCTCGTAGATTGGATTCCCGTGGCCGTCCGGTCGCTTAACTGTTCGAAATTCCAGATCAAAAACGATCAAGAACATGTGCATGAAGGACGCGTCACGAAGACGAGATGAGATATAATGTCGGACACTCGAGGACGGTGCGGTGAAGGAGGTGGGACACGAGGGGTGGTTGGCGCGATTTGGAGTGAGGAGGCAGGGGAGTGAAGCCTGACCGAGAGAGGGAGGAAGCCCGGCCTGGGATGCGGTGCCGTCGCACGGTGCAAAGGATCTGGTCGAATATCCAGGACAGGTAGATGGATTCATGTAACGATGTGTGTTGTTTTGTTGCTGTTGTCAGTTGTTAGTTTGTTGTTGTGTGTGTTGCTGTTGTTGTCGTCGCTAGTTGTTATCTGGTTATTCGTCGAAGTTATCGTACGTCGTCGTCGTCGTCGTCGTCGTCGTCGTCGTCGTACACACGTCGTCATGCGTCGTAAGTCACGTCGTCAGTCGTACGTCGTCGGTCGTTGTTAATAATTGACTGTTGCGTTGTTGATAGTGTTCATTGTCTGCTGCTCGCTATCAATTGTTGGCGTGCGTTGTCCATCGATCGTCGTTCGTGTCGTCATCTGTCGTACGTCGTCCCGTCGCGTCGTATCGTCGTCGTCGTCGTCGTCAGTCTGTCGTCGTCGTCAGTCGTGGTCGTCGGGTGTAGTTTGTTGTCTCGTATCGCTGTTTTCCTGGATAGACGATGGGTCATTGGTTAGAGACGTCGTTAGATTAAATAGCTAGATACATGGGCAAGCACGGTAGGACGATGCTGGAAGACAGCCGGTTTTAAAGACAGTCGGATTATAATTCACTACTAATTATGCGTTGCGTGCGTGTGTAGTGTGTGTGTGTGGTGTCGCTGTGTGTGTGTGTTAGTGTGTGTGTGTTGCCCGTTGTGCGTGGTGTGGTGTGTGTGTGTGGTTGTGCAGTGTGTCGTGTTGCGCTGTTGGCGTGTTGTGTGCAGTGTGCGGCTGCAGGGGTGTAGGTGATATAGGTAGATACTAAGATAACTGTAAGGTGAATAAATTGAACGTCTTAAATGTAAGGTAAAGTGGCGTCGCTACTCAGCCTGCCGTTCGTTACACAGGCACTTGAAGGTCGTTCAATAAAATACTAATGGCTAATCCAATACGAAACTATTTACTTACAAATTCTTAGATGTTAATATGACCTCGTCACGGAGAATGGCTATATCGCACGGACAATTCCCTGTAAATACCGTCCAAATCCTCTAGTGTGCAACACACGCTACCGCCGCTATGGCCTGCCCGCTGGCATCACTAAAAACTTATATACATATATATATATGATAAGTTTAATAATGATTATAAGTGTATAATATAATATATAGGACTTAATATAATACTATATTATAATATAGATATTATATAATATATATATATTATATATAAGTGTTAGTGTCAGCGGCAGCCAGTGGCGGGCGCGGTAGCTGTGTTGCAGCATAGAAGGAGTTCGGACGCGAATTAAGGAAAACTGTCGCATAATAGGGTGAACGAGAGTATAATAAACAATTTAAGACATTGGTAGTAAGATTAGATTACCTTAATTTATTTAAGCATTATATTTTATTTGACCAGGCTTCAATGGCCTGTATTATAATTACACTACTATAGGTAAAAAAGGCAGGTAGATATACTCGGTGCAAAGAGACAACAGCGTTGCAGGTTTGTATGTGGCCTATTCCTGAGACAAGTATTACTGAGTAATGAGTACTGGCGTACATTAGTGCAGGCGCACGGGCCACCGCGAAACTGGTTTATAGGCAGGTGCAAATACACAACAACGTCCTACTATAGTTACTCTTATCTTCTATACGTGCAGCTTTATCTGTAGCCATAGATGTACGCCACACAGGTATATGTGACGCAAACTGTAGTGGAAGTTTATTATATAGCATAGGATTAGAACAAAATTATGAGTGCGGAGTGAAAACCAGATTTATATTTGGCATATTACGTCGTACCGGTGCCTCCTATTGTAAGCGCCAATAAGTCCCGAGTTGCAATTAACATTTGAGCCTGATATATATATATATATATATATATAATATATATACACACACACACATATATATATATATATGCCTGTGTGTGTTAATGTTAGGGAATCATTAGCATCTAATATTACCATCCCCGTTCCAATTAGTCGAACGCTAAAATCTAATCATGTCGAAGGAGTGTAAGTGGTTAAGTGTTAGCGACTCAGTTCCAATTAGGCAAACACTAAAATCTTCTATCGTTAAAGGTACATTAGCATCAACAGTTAATAACCCAGTTTTAATAAGTCAACACCAAGATCTACGCGTATTCGAGTAACCTCCATGGTTTACTAGCCAGTTCCCACTCTAATTCTAATAAATAATTATCTATATCTAATTTAATCTAATTCATCTAATCTAATTCTCATAGTAATTATATGTAATGACATCAAATAAACATTACCAGTAACTATCCATTTTCCCAATCTGCATAAATAAATAATAATAATACAATGAACATATATATACACTAATAAATGTGTCTATTAGAGTCGGGGCAACATTGTGATCAGCACAGTAGCAGCTATGTTTTTACAGCTCCTACTATAATTAACACTATTGACGTAATATCAAAAATAGATGCATATTATATATTTTTATATTATAATATCTCACAGTGATGAAAGAATAGTAGATGTGTGTACTGTCTATGGTAATCTGTCCAATTCCCACCCTGACAGTGACACACTTATATACCAACATATATGTAGAAATATATATATATATACCTATATTAGCGTCGAAGGGAGCTGTAGCTGTGGTTAACTGGCCATGCATGTTCCACTCTGGCACGCTGATTTATCTACCTATATGTAGAAATAAATATATTTATTAGTCTCAAAGGTAGCACCTCGGGTTACTTTCCCTGTTTCCCACTCTGCGACACACAGGAATTTACCCAAACATATATATATGTAGAAATAAATATAGTCACTAGTACTAGCAGTAGCGAAGTTAGCTATAGTTACTGGCGCAATTCTCACTCTTCGACTCGCTCATAAATATATAAATCAAAGCAGCGTTAGACATAGCTATACTTGCTATACTAAGTTCACCGCTATACGTATATATATATAGATAGAGAGAGAGAGGAGGAGAGAGAGAGAGAGTAGAGAGAGAGAGAGAGAGAGAGAGAGAGAGAGAGAGAG